AATCAACATGTCTGGTCTCGGTGTCAGGCCAAAGTAAACAGGAAAGTGAGTCACCTCAGATCATTAAGAAATGATCTAGACCTGCACAGAATCACACAATAACACACTGTACAGTGCATGACAGTCGGTTGCATCAGGCTGATATGGACAGTGATCTTGAAAGATTAAAGTGACAACAGTTGTTAGAGCCTGCGCTGCAGTTGATCAACCCTAAATGCATGATGGGAAACCATAGCTCACTGGCACGCATGTTCGATCAGCAACACTGTCTATATTCTTCCTTTTAATAAGCACTGCGAGGTTGTTGAAAAACTTTGATAACCACAGAGATCAAATTTAAAATTGTTTTTATGATTGCTACATTGGTGTAGTTGTAGTTGATGAGGTTGACGAGAAGGAGGTGGGTATTATCACCTATGACCTTTTGGCTGATAGGTGGGAATTCTGTGAATCAGGGGTGTCAATCTTATTTTAGTTCATGGGCCACATACAGCTCAATTTGATCTCAAGTGAACTGGACCAGTAAAACTATTGCATAATAACCTAGAAATGACAACGCCTTCACATTTTTTTAGTGGACGCTATTAAAGAAGCAGGTTCAAACCTGCCTTAGAAACCATTTGCAATGTGAAGTTTTGTCAGTGCCTCAGCAGCAGGGTTCCACTAACATTGTTTTCAGATAGAAGTCTGATGCAGATTCTTTTGTACTGAAGCTGCTGAATGATAATATTTTGTCACAATGTTCAATATCTTTAAATATGACCATAGTAAGTATTTATTGTTATTTCAGAAAGCTGTACTCTGGTTGGGGTGGAAAACCCCTGAGGCAGCATTTTACATGAAGTATCTACTCACTGTTTCAAGTGCTCCTGCAAACCTCTTAGCCTTCACAAGTGAATCAATCAATTTTATTTATAAAGCCCAATATCACAAATCACAGTTTGCCTCACAGGGCTTTACAGCATGCGACATCCCTCTGTCCTTATGACCCTCGCAGCGGATAAGGAAAAACTCCCCAAAAAAACCTCCTTTAACGGGGAAAATAAACGGTAGAAACCTCAGGAAGAGCAACTGAGGAGGGATCCCTCTTCCAGGATGGACAGACATGCAATAGATGTCGTACAGAACAGATCAACATGATAAATTAATAGTAATCCATATGTCACAATGAGACAGAGAGAGAGAGAGATGCAGGACAGACGGTAATGACAGTAGCTTACAACAACATTAATGAAAGTAATAATATTATAATTCTAGCTGTTGTGGTACAATATGTTGAAAGTATATATTAATATGTGATAGTGTACATATGTGACAATAATCATATGTATAATAACAGTAGAAGTATGACTAATGATAACAGCAGCAGCAGGAGGCATCTGGCAGGACCACGGCAGCAGCACAACCACACACGTCACACCATCCAGGCACCACTGTGATATAAGTTAACCTGAGAGACAGTGGAGCACAAAGGCTCCGGAGAAGAAGCCGGGTTAGTGACATGCAGTACAGCCGAGTTAGCAAGATGCAGTAACAGGACACGAGAAAGAGAGAGAGAGAAGGTGCCCGGTGTATTATAGGGGGTCCCCTGGCAGACTAGGCCTAAGTCAGCCTAACTAGGGGCTGGTACAGGGCAAGCCTGAGCCAGCCCTAACTATAAGCTTTATCAAAGAGGAAAGTCTTAAGTCTAGTCTTAAATGTGGAGACGGTGTCTGCCTCCCGGACCATAACAGGAAGATGATTCCACAGGAGAGGAGCCTGATAGCTGAAGGCTCTGGCTCCTGATCTGCTTTTGGAGACTTTAGGGACCACGAGTAACCCTGCGTTCTCAGAGGGCAGTGTTCTGGTGGGATAATATGACACTATGAGCTCTCTAAGATATGACGGAGCCTGACCATTTAGAGCTTTATAAGTTAACAGTAGGATTTTAAATTCAATTCTGGATTTTACAGGGAGCCAGTGCAGAGAAGCTAAAACGGGAGAAATATGATCTCGTTTTTTAGTTCCTGTTAGTACACGTGCTGCTGCATTCTGAATTAGCTGGAGAGTTTTTAAGGACTTACTAGAGCTACCTGATACCTGATAATAGAGAGTTACAGTAATCCAGCTCCACCTCCAATTGAGGTAACAAAAGCATGGACCAATTTTTCTGCATCTTTTTGGGTCAGGTTCTAGCCCCCAGGTCGTATGTTGGACACCCCTGTTGTAAATGGTCAGAAAAAGTGGGCATACCCTGTATACCTGTATCCATAGCCTATTCCCGTTTCATTATTTTTGTATTATGACGTATGTGATTTCTGGATTTTTAATGAATATGAAGCTTAAAGAACGAATGCTTTGGTGATTATCACAGAATAAAATCATGTAGAGGATTATACCACAGCCTATCACACACAAAAGTGTCCTAATTCACATAAGAAAAAAAAGGAATTTATACTTTTTTGTTTGCCACTGTTATTAGCTTATACCCTGATTTGTGACAAATGTTGAGTCAAAAAGGTTGAGTGCAAGATACACTCACATTGTTGGGCTTTCATAGACAATATATTATTTATGAATATAAGTCGGCTTTATGTTATAGCAGGGTGTCTCCAGGTATCAGACAGTTAAATATAGTGCCTTTTAAGACCCATTCAAGACACCTTTTAACCAAATTTTTGGGACAAGCATCGCTGGTAAGCATTGCAGCTAAGTAGTTTATATGTGGTCTTGTGCAGAGGTAAGAGTTATGTAGGAATATGGTTATTAGAGTGAGTTAAGTCAGTCAACATTTTGCCAACAGGTAAGTGCAAGCATGAAGTAAAATTACAGTATTATAGTTTTTAAAGATTTGTTACATCAGATATGTGGACTTTCACATAGAAAGGCTTCACTCATTTTCATAAATACAAAGACTATTTAATGACTTTTAAGGCCTTACGGTAACACTTAAGACTAAAGACTTTTTAAGGACCTGTAGACACCCTGTAATGTTCAGGTTATAGCCTACTTAAATGTACCTGCTTACATGTTTATGCTGTTCTTCATATCTTATTGTTGAATATCTCCCGCAATATTATAGGGTACTTAATTTATTTTTTCATACAGGGTCAATAGCCTGTATAGTGGTGTGGATGACACATCGGTGGTCCATGTGTCGGCTGTATATGAAGAAGCGTTAATGAATGAGTGTATTTTTTTTTCAAAAATAAACGCATTTGGAAGCACGATAATCCTCAAAAATAATACAAAACGAAATTTCCGAGAAACAAAAAGGAGAAATGCAAAGCGATGCAACACAAACAATGAATTCATTCATTCTCCCTGCTCAGGCGCAGCCATTTCTCCTCGCCTGACCCGCTGTCGCTCGACAGACACGTCACACAGACGCGCAAGGTTTTCTGGGAAATGGAGTTTTTCACGAAATGGAATTTTCCAAAATATTGTCTAGAGGAGTGAGTGGAAATTTACTCTGTTTCCCTCCCCCTGTAGTATGCATAGCTGTGTCTGTTTTGCAGGATGTTTTGTTGGAAGTCAACCATGTATGTGACCGCTGAGACTGACAGTTACTATGATGATTGTTTTGATATGGCTGTGATTATAAAAAATTATGTTTATTACAACTGTGTTGCTGTTTATGGTGTGTCATGTTGTTGTGTGTCATATTAAATCATGCCATATTTTTTTATTATTAGTAGTAGTAGTGACTACTGTTGCTACTACTAGAAGTGATTGTGATATTTTTAAAGGTGTCAGTGCAGGTCTATCAGGTTGGCACACACAGGATCACATTTACTGGAGGGCTTTCATGTTAGAATGAAGTGCATCCAGTAAATGGTGCCATACCTTACACGTTCAAGTGTGTATAGCAGAAAAATTGTGCTACATTTTGTCACAGATGCACACGTTAGTAAGCTGAAATATTTGATCGGGTTCCAAATGTGGAGCCACTCACCGTCATCCCACGTACACATTCATTTTTTATCTAAATCTTTTTTTCAGCTGCCCACTCTGCAATGAAGTGTTGCTGTCTGATAAGAACTGCTGACATCCATTGCTTCCCTCTTTCATATATTTAATAGACCACTTATTTTTCATAGACTAAATTATAATATGGCTTACCCCTGATTGAACAATAGCTCCCATATATTAGGTGGTAATGGTGGTAGGCTATGAACAGTGCGTTTCCCCCCCATTGCTCTAAAATGACAACCATTTCCTCTTGATCACTTGCCTGATGCTTTCCAATGAATAGCCTCATCTGTGCCAGGTCACTTGAAAAATGAAAACATGTGTGCTTGCAAAAGATAAGTCTGCATACTTGTGTCTCTTATGGGCAATAATATTGGCATACGAGATGAAATTCCATTTTAGGGGAGGCTGCAGGAAAAAAATGTCTGAAAATATGAAATAAAAAGTAAAAAGAGGCAGCAGTTTCTTGATTGTTCCAGGTTGCAACCCTAAAATCAGATTAGAAGTTAAGACTTGTGTAATCAGATAGAGCAGGGCAGGGTTTCTGGTTGTTTCCATGACACAATACAGCTTTATTTCAGGTTAATTAGTCAACTTCATATCTGTTTGTGGTTATCTGCTGGAGAAGATTGCTGAAATGATGAGGCAATGTTTGATACTGTAAATTGTGGTGCAGATATACACGTCTTAATTTGCAGTAAAGTATTGCAATGTTTATAAAGGCTGTCATTTTTAAATTCGCATTAGTTTGGCACAATTTCTAAGTGTAATTTCATGGTTATTTAAGTGGGGAACTGTGTGGTAAACTCTCTTCCGCAATTACAAGAAGCTGTTGGAGGGGGGTGTGTTCACTGACTGGAGGCTTCCCATTTTGAGTGACAATAAAACATACATTGTCTCCTTATTATTAAGTTTATATAAACATGTAGAGTAGATTAATACAAGAATAATTAGCCAGAGTCATTTCCAGTTGTGTTTTTTGCCTCCGAACAGCTCACGGGTGTGTTACACGTGTGATGTGGGGCGTGGACTGGATTGAACGGGTGCGTTATAAGGAGGACAGGCAGCATTGTCTGGCGGGCATCACGGCTCATGTATAGCGGAAAGGCACGGACGAGAAACCGGACTGCTGACCTCAAAACAACACCCTGACGGAGGAGCACGGTTGTGGCTACGGGGACGCACCTATCCTGCGGGTGTTCTTCAGGAAGGAGTCACCTCTTTTCATCATTCACATCTCCCTGCTGCCCTGAATGACGCTTTAGCATCATTAGCTGTAATGCTAACACTAGCCTACAAGGTATTTCTTTAGTGTTTATGTGTGTTTAAACAATGAAGCCATTGAGTCTTTGTGTGCGTGGACTACCTGTGCACTTCAGTGGCTTTGCCTTCATTGAAAGTACATGGTTTTATGTCAGTGTTAGGCTCGTGCAGCTGTGTTTTCGGTTATGACAGTTGATGTCCCATTGATTATCTGTGTCAAATGTCTTAGCTGACAGTTATTGTTGACGTCAGCCAGGAAGAAATACTTCAAATACTTTAGTAACGTTATACCTTTTGCCAGACTTTCCTGCTGTGGTGCATGTTTTAATATGGATCCTCCAGTGCATGTTAGAGAGATAATAATGAGTACAAGCTCCTTGAAGATGCGCAGCGCTTTGCAGCCGGAGTGACTGTTCTAGAAATTTCCACACGCCTCATAGGTGCATCTGTGCACCACATCCTGACCGTGGACCGGTGACACCTCTGCTTTGTATTCACAGAGGTGGTCCCAGGCTGTCAGCCACACTTGGCCATTAATTAAAGCTGCATTGTTCAGTGCACCATTCATTTATTATGCCCCCTATTTTTATCATGGCGTCAGCCTGGGTTTAATATTGTGTTCATTATTGTTATTGGAAGCAAAGAGGGGTAAGCATTCAGTGTCTCCATTTGAGCCATGTGGATCTGTGCAAGAGTAGGATTCATTTGAAATTTATTCCAGCTGTGCAAACACCATCATTAGTTTGGCTTTAATTGTTTGGGGAAGTTTGTACTTACTTGTGTGGGCAGTGATTTCTAGATTGTTCCAGATTACAACTCTGAAGCTGATAAGACGTTAGACCTGTGTAATCACATTTCTTAACTAGGTTTCTAGTAGTTTCTGTCACTTGAGGCGTTATTACTGTGTCAATTCAGGTTAATTAGTCAACTTCATCTGTTTGTGGTTTCATGCTGGAGAAGGTTTGCTAGACTTAAATGAGCTTTAAAGGGGAACACCACTTAAATTAAGAATTCCAATATGTTATTTACACGGCTGAGAAAAGTCTAATCAATAATTGTAAACATGAGCAACTCTCTCTCAAAGCCAGAAACCAGAAAAGTAAGTCTCAAACTTATGATGTCGTCAAGTATAGTCTGGAGCTGCTCCATAGACAGGGAATGGAAACCTGAATTTGTGGACCCGCACTGTTCTTTAAACCCAAATGAACTTTATTCTGTGTAGTGTTCTCAGTTTTTAAAACAGAAAATACTCAGAACATTTCCCTAGGTGCTCTCTGTGTCATCTTTTCCAGTTTATGTATGTCATTTATACCCTATGACATGACAAATTTGAGATTTAGCACTTCAGCTTTTAGATGTGGGAGAGAGAAGTTCATTTTAATTAAAAATTTTGGACTGTCTTAGACCACAGAAATACAATGTATGGGTTTTGAAAATAGGCATAGTTCTCTTTTAGTGTTTAGAAGTGCTGTCACTGTTTAATTCACATCAGTTTGATCCAATTTGTAGGTGTCACTTATTAGTTAGTATCACACAGCCAGACCTATCCTCACACCTTGTTTGTGCCAGCACTGGAGAAAGGTTGAATCTATCATAGCTGCACACTACGGAAAAAAACACTCTGGGTTGTCTGTATTTCTTAAAACCATGGGTGGCATTCATGGTGCCCATGATGCACTGATGATGCACATGCTATCTATTACCAGTTTATAAAATTTTAGAGAGCGATGAGCAGAGTTTGAAGGTCAGCAGGTTTGCTCAAGTGACTGAGGGGTGGGTGGAGATAGAGGTGGGAATCAATTTGCATATTCATACACCCATTCATACTAAATGACGCAAAGGTGTAGGGTAACATTGAAGCCATTTCAAGGTATGAAGCTGTGGTGGAATTTAGCACCAGACACCACCCAAATGCTGGTAAAATATGCATGTGGCTGCCAGTTTGTTTCCCACACCAGCAAAAAACAGCTGGTAATCTGTTGAGTGACTGGTACATTTTGGAATTTACCAGCCAAAGTGGCAGGTGAATGAAAAAAAAAGGAAATTTCAAAGCCTGTGAGAGGATTTCTTTTGTTATGATAAGATGAGAGAGATGAGTGTTTAAGGGTTTGATCAGTGCTTGGAGCGGAACTTTAAAATACACATTGCATTGGACTCAGCTGTGGAAACAGGATTTAGTTGAATAACTTCTGTGGAATACGTGCATGTCACAGCCCGTTTGACTTGGCATCTCTCTTTGCTTTTGAATGTTTAGCAGAACTCAGGTTTCATCACTAGTGATAGAACATAGTTGTTGGCTTTGCGTCAGTCAGTAAGTTGTTGCAGAGAGGGGAAGTATATAAAAATTGCACTTGCTATTTTTGTTTAACCCAATTTTAGGTATCAGCCTGGGCTAAAGTTAGTGGCACTGGCAGCACCATACATTTTGATATTCTGGCAGTAGCCTGGGTGGCTCTATAAAGAGGCACTTAAATAGAATGGCAGTGATGATGTTTGAATCCATCATTATATAACTTTGCAAATTAAAGTATATAAATCTGTTTAATGGCATTACTGTATTTCAGAGCCAGAGTCTCCTGGACAGTGTATGGTGAACACATGGAGTGCAACCCTTGATGATGATGAGATGGTAAAAATGAAAACAAAGACTTCTTTTATTGAGAGGGATGGTTATGCATAAAGCCTGGTTGTGGACACAAACGTGTGGGGTTATTTTCTACCATGCATGGAAGGCTGAAAGCTCAAGAGAGGCCAGACAAATCCAAAATTGTACGAGTATGTGTTTGCCAGGTTGACACAAAACAGATGTGCTCAAGCATCATCATGCATATTACTTTTTGCTGACATGTGGATTCAATTTGAAAAACACCTCACTGTCATTACATCTATGAATCTGTTGAATTAGGATATGCAGATCAACAAAATTTAAGTCTGTGGTTTCACTTCTAAGCTGAGGAAGCTACTGCTAGGATTGGGTTTAGGTTGTTTTTTCCACTTCTAGGCTAGGATTGAGGGTGCTTTTTAAATTCTAGGCTAGGGTTTAGATTGCTTTTTTCCAATTCTAAGCTGGAGTTTAGGTTTTTTCCACTTCTAGGCTAGGGTTGAAGGTGTTTTTCAAGTTCTAGGTTAGGGTTTAGGTATTTTTTTCAGTTCTAAGCTGGCGTTTAGGTTGTTTTTTTCTACTTCTAGGGTTAGGGTTAGGGTTAGGTTGGGTTTTGGTTGGGTTTTTTTCACAGTTCTAGGCTTGGGTTTATGTTGGCTTTTCAATTCTAAGCTGGGGTTTAGCTTTTTTTCCCTCTTCTAGACTAGGGTTGAGGATGTTTTTTTAAGTTCTAGGCTAGGGTTGAGATAGTTTTTTCAATTCTAAGCTGGGCTTTAGGTTGTGTTTTCCACCTCTAAGCTGGGGTTTAGGGTTTTTTTTTCTACTTCTAGTTTAGGGTTGAGGGTGTTTTAAGTTCTAGGCTAGGGTTTGGGATTTTTTTCCACTTCTAGGCTTGGGTTTAGGTTCTTGTTTCAGTTCTAGGATAAGGGTTTAGGTTGTTTTTTCAATTCTAGGCTTGGGTTTAGGTTGTTTTCAGTTCTAGACTAGGGTTTAGTTTTTTCAGTTCTAGGCTTGGGTTTAGGTTGTTTTTTCAGTTCTAAGCTGGGGCTTAGGTTCTTTTCCACTTCTAGGCTAGGGTTGAGGGTGTTTTTTAAGTTCTAGGCTAGGGTTGAGGGTGTTTTTTAAGTTCTAGGTTAGGGTTTAGGTAGTTTTTTCAGTTCTAAGCTGGCGTTTAGGTTGTTTTTTTTTCTACTTCTAGGCTAGGGTTTAGGTTGTTTTTTTCCCCACAGTTCTAGGCTAGGGTTTATGTTGGTTTTTCAATTCTAAGCTGGGGTTTAGGTTTTTTCCCCACTTCTAGGCTAGGATTGAGGGTGTTTTTTTTTAAGTTCTAGGCTAGGGTTGAGGTAGTTTTTTCAATTCTAAGATGGGCTTTAGGTTGTGTTTTCCACTTCTAAGCTGGGGTTTAGGTTGTTTTTTTCTACTTCTAGTTTAGGGTTGAGGGTGTTTTTTAAGTTCTAGGCTAGGGTTTAGGATTTTTTTCCACTTCTAGGCTCGGGTTTAGGTTCTTGTTTCAGTTCTAGGCTAAGGGTTTAGGTTGCTTTTTCAATTCTAGGCAAGGGTTTAGGTTGTTTTTCACAGTTCTAGGCTAGGGTTGAGGTAGTTTTTTCAATTCTAAGCTGGGCTTTAGGTTGTGTTTTCCACTTCTAAGCTGGGGTTTAGGTTGTTTTTTTCTACTTCTAGTTTAGGGTTGAGGGTGTTTTTTAAGTTCTAGGCTAGGGTTTAGGATTTTTTTCCACTTCTAGGCTCGGGTTTAGGTTCTCGTTTCAGTTCTAGGCTAAGGGTTTAGGTTGTTTTTTCAATTCTAGGCTAGGGTTTAGGTTGTTTTTCCAGTTCTAGGCAAGGGTTTAGTTTTTTTTTTTCAGTTCTAGACTAGGGTTTAGTTTTTTCAGTTCTAGGCTTGGGTTTAGTTTTTTCATTTCTAGGCTTGGGTTTAGGATTTTTTCAGTTCTAGGCTAGGGTTCAGCTTGTTTTTCAGTTCTAGGCTAGGGTTTAGTTTGTTTTTTTCCACTTCTAGGCTAGGGTTTAAGTTTGGATTTGGTGACAACAGTGTTACAGATGTAGGTGTGTGTGCATAGATTAAGATGTGGTATACTTAAATTAGAGGATGACATTTTGAATCTGTTCTATTTTTTGTGTTTAGGCGATGTCCCGGTGCGTCCCTCTTACTCCATCTTTAGTCATGGCTTTAACCATGAAATAGAATTCCACAATTTTAGTTGCCTTTTCCAAAAATGCTACAGACCTCCTACGTGTAGGCATGTTTGTTACCTTAAAGAAATGCAAGATTTTTAAGATGATATTAGTTAAGCCACATATTAGGTAGTGTAGGAACTTTATAGTCTTTGGCTACGTATTTTTGTCCCGTCTTGACTTCTCTTGATTTCTTACATAATGTTATTAAGCTTCCTTTGAAGTTCTTACAGGCTTGAGATCTTTGTGTTAAAAAGATTAAGGAGGGAAGTAATAGGCCAGCTAAATCCAAGGAGAGGTGCTGGAACAAAAATGCACACTTCATGTGCTTTATAGGGCACTATGCCAGTTTTTACCATTTCTTTCATTTCTTTTATGTAAACTAAACAGTTTGTTTTTCTGTCCTGATTTCAGAGAGGCTGTTGTAAACTTTCAGGCGTGTGTGTTGGGTGTTTTTCCCTCTTAAATCAAGGCTCTAATGAGATGTTTTTCTTTGCTTTCTCTGCTGTCTTGCAGGAATGTTAACTCTAGGCTTTTCTAGACCAGAGGCCTACAACATCCTCCTTTAAATCTAGAACGACCTCAGTGCCGGTGGATAAACCACTCCGAAGCACACCTAGTGAATTTGACCTGACGGTGGATACTACAGCTTCCATCCAGACAGCAAACCAAAGCAGAGCTTTTCCATTGTTCCCTTTTTGATAAGTAACTATTCGTAAGGATTTGTATAGCTGTGAGTTTTATTTCCAGGAGATTTTTTTGAGTTATCTGTGAAAATGGGTCCTGGAATGGAAGCAGCGGACATAGCGGTGGTAGCACTGTATTTTGTCCTGGTGCTAGCCATTGGTTTTTTTGCCATGTGGAAAGCCAATCGCAGCACTGTGAGAGGCTACTTCCTGGCTGGCCGCTCCATGACGTGGATTGTGATAGGCGCATCACTCTTCGTCAGCAACATTGGCAGTGAACATTTCATAGGCCTTGCTGGGTCAGGAGCAGCGAGTGGTTTTGCTGTTGGAGCTTGGGAATTTAATGCACTTCTACTTCTGCAGCTGCTTGGCTGGGTGTTTATTCCCGTGTATATACACTCGGGAGTGTACACGATGCCGGAGTACCTGTCGAAACGCTACGGTGGCAACAGGCTAAAGGTTTACTTTGCTCTCTTGTCTGTATTACTTTACATTTTTACCAAGCTGTCTGTGGACTTGTATGCTGGAGCTCTCTTCATTCAGGAGTCCCTGGGGTGGAACCTTTATGTGTCTATTGTCCTGCTCATCAGTATGACTGCACTGCTCACTGTCACTGGTGGATTGGTGGCAGTACTGTACACAGATGCACTTCAGGCGGTGTTGATGATTGGTGGAGCCCTAACCTTAACCATTCTCAGCCTAATCAAAGTTGGTGGGCTAGAGGGTGTCAGAGTTAAGTACATGCAGGCAGTTCCCAATGTTACTGCTATAATGGCCACTGGAAACTTCACCTACTCCAATTCCTGCCGCATTGAGCCTAAACCAAACTCGCTACGCATCCTTCGAGGTCCCCTAGACGAAGACATCCCATGGCCAGGATTCATTCTTGGCCAGACCCCTGCATCTATCTGGTACTGGTGTGCAGACCAGGTTATTGTTCAGAGAGTACTAGCAGCAAAGAACATCGCTCATGCAAAGGGCTCTACACTCATGGCTGGATTTCTCAAGATCCTGCCCATGTTTGTAATAGTCATTCCAGGAATGATTTCCCGTATCATGTTTGCGGATGAGATCGCCTGCATTGGGCCAGAACACTGCATGGCTGTGTGCGGTTCTCAGGCTGGCTGCTCAAACATTGCCTATCCTCGTTTGGTAATGGCAGTGATGCCCGTGGGTCTCAGAGGTCTGATGATGGCAGTCATGATCGCTGCCCTGATGAGTGATCTAGACTCCATCTTCAACAGTGCCAGCACCATCTTCACACTGGACATCTACAAAAATGTTCGAAGGAAGGCATCTCAGCGTGAGCTGCTGATTGTGGGCCGCATGTTTGTTGTGCTCATGGTGGTCATCAGCATTGCCTGGGTCCCTGTTATTATTGAAATGCAAGGTGGACAGACATACCTCTACATCCAAGAAGTTGCGGGCTACCTCACTCCACCAATCGCTGCCCTCTTCCTGTTGGGTGTGTTCTGGAAACGGTGTAATGAGACAGGCGCATTTTGCGGCGGCATGATAGGTTTTACACTCGGTACCCTACGACTGATCCTAGCTTTTATCTACCGCCAGCCTCGCTGTGACCAGCCAGATGATAGACCTTCCTTCATCGTTAATGTTCACTACATGTATTTTGCCGCTGGGCTGTTCTGGATTTCAGGGTTGGTGGCAGTGGTGGTCAGTCTCTGCACCTCTCCACCAGATGATGAGCAGGTTCGCACCACCACATTCTGGGGGCTCCGCAACATTGAAAAGGTTCCTACAAAGGACCCAAAGGAAACGTACAGGCTGACTGAAGAGAGCTGTTGTAATGGTGATGGAAGTCTCCATAAAGAATTGCCCCGAGACGTCAGAATGGAGAGGTGTTTGGATGGGGCAGATGTTAAACTCCTGGTCCCATCCACTGACCATGACCCAGCAACTCCTAGTACGGAAGCATCCCCTGCCACCACCCCTGCAGAACGATTTAGTAATGGAATGATGGAGGTGGTCAAAGAGGAAAGCTGCCATGTTAATGGGGAGAGTAGCAGGTGTATGGGTTTACTGAACTGGTTTTGCGCATATAAGGACGGCTCACAGAGTGCTCAGCAAAAAGTAGTGCAGGAGGATGAAATCATTGCACAGATGCTGTACGAGCCACCGAAAGTTAAAATACTCCTCAACACGGGTCTGCTGTTCGTCTGCTCTGTGGGCATCTTAATGTTTGTTTATTTCTCATTGTAGTTGAACTCTGCACTGAACTAACAGGGACTGATGTGGGGGCTTTTATTAAGGTGGAGGTAATGTGCGTGTGTGTGCGTGAAGGGGGAGGGGGGCTGTTACAAAGAAACAATTGAATTTTCAACGATTTGAGAAGCTCTGTCTGTAATATTTACAGTTGTCTTTTGTAGCTCTCTAACATGAGTCAAAGCTTATTCTAATCATTTTTTTAAATGATTGAAGCTTCTCCACATGAAAACAGTTGTACTCCTTAATGACTATGAAGCTTATTTGGCACTTGCGTGTTCATTTTGTACAGTGCCTGTTGTTAATCCTGCATTCAGTATATTTACTGGGGTGATAGAGTTGTTGTACTCTTAGTGAATTTAATATTTGCCTTATTTGACATATGCACTTGTCTTTTTTTGTTTTGTGAAAAATAATTGTATTCTGTGATTTAAGCTTCCCCCCCATTTTTGTTGACAGTGACTGTAGACGTAGTTGCTGGTGCAATATACATATTTTTGTAATAAGTCAAACACTATTTTCAGTTATGGTCCATGACAGTTTTGTACAAGTTTCTGCCGCTGAACACTTTATTATTACTTCATTATTTTACCAGAACTTTGAGTATGTGATTACTATTTAAGTTTTATTGTGCCCTTGACTGTCATTTTAAGGTTATTAGCAAATTACCTAATACATGTCCATTTTATTTTGCTGGAGAGAACAGGTAGAGGTGATATCTAACTATTTGTTAATAAGGGGACCATTGTGAAATTTGTTAAACAACATCTAACATCAAGTGCTAAGAGGCATTGCTTCTCTGCTGCTGTTACATATCACCATTATGTTTATGGCGATTATCAAAATCACGGTTTTGATTCAGCCCACTGGAGGTATTGTGTAAATATCTGGCATTTAGAATATGTATGTTTTTTGCAGCACAGGAAATAAAAAGAAGAAGCACAACATTAGAAGCTAACTTTTTTTTCTATTTATTTTTTTTTTTTCATCTGAAGAGAAGAAATAGCCAAACGTAATATAGTATGGTACGCGTTTATTGTGATTGGCTGTTCAATTTGTTGTCACTGATGACTAAATCCCATACACAACAGGAGCTGTACTGCTATTTTTGAAAATGTTTTATCTATCTATCTATCTATATATATA